AAAAGAAAGTACGAACTTCTAGCCTTAAAAAAAAAATTAAATAAAAAATAAAAAATAAATCCTTTTCAGCACAAAATAAAAGAAAAATATTGCATTATTATTGTTGGATACTTGTCAATTTATAATCACTATTTTCAGAAAAAGAGAATTTTCTTTTTTTCATGGATAAGCACAAATCCAAATGTTACATTATCTTGAAAGAATATTGTTTCATTGCTCGAAGAAGATTATTTAATACAAATCAACATTATAAAAGAATATTTGTTCATCACGAAGAATGACTTTCTACAAATTAATATTTTTGATAAACCTATGTCAATGCTCTTAAAGTAGCATAGCTTTATAACATAAATACACTGTAGTTCTTAAAGAAAATTGACACAAAAATATTATAATGATACCAAGTATATTTTTCTTTATGTACCAATATTCTTCAAGAATATTAGGATATTCTTGAAGAATATTTAGTTTGATTCTTAAATAATTACAATTTTATATAAATTTATATTCTATAAGAATAATTCGCTATAGTTGCCGACGCAAAAATTACTACATATGAATGAACACTCCATAACATTTTATGCTTAAAAATTCTAAATTGAGTTACTTTGTCACATCATGTATACTTTTGATTGTGGGTAAATTACATTCGCGATGACTTCAATTTCATCCTAGTTCAATTAGGTAATTATACTTTAATTATGTTCAACTGAATAATTACACTTTAATCTGATTTCAATTCAGTAATTCGTCTAATTCGGTCACTTGGACTTACACAAATAGATGAAATAACAATCAATAAATGATGTATGATATTTATTTCAATGAAGTTGTACTAAATTCATGTCAGCAACAAACATTTACTTGTGCTAATCATCATTTATTAACTAACACATCACAATTTATCATTAGTGAAATGGACAAAGTTGGTTAATTGAATTCTATTAAAAATTTAGTTACCCAATCAAAATTAAATTAAAATGTAGTTTATCAATTCAGATCATCTTAAACCATAGTTATTCGCTTGAACAAAATTAAAATATTGTTACCTGATTAAAATTGAATTAAATGTATAGTTATTGCGACGAAATTTGTCACTGATTGGGGATTAAAATTCAACTAATCTCTCATCCTAATGCTGTCACATTTTTCTTCCATGTGAAACTTCAAAATAGAGAGCGATAGGGAATGTCGTGGTCCCTCTCTATTTTTGGGGAGAGAAAAGTTCGATATTTGATCAAGTACCAAATTTATATTTGTCTTGATGTTCTCTTTCTTAAAAAAAAAAAATTATTAGAAAAATTTAGGTTCCTATGATCTTTTATGATATTCAAACTCTTAAAAGGGCATTTTCCCAGCTTTACATGTGATTGGTGTTGCAATACAATTGTCGTGGTTTGAATGGGCTAAATGCTGCTAACAAGAGGGAAATGGCCTTTCCTATAGATAAAGCCTTATTTATTTCGTCATCCCTAATCACTGGACAACTTGGTTATTGACAAGAGCAAGTCATCGAGTTATCGGATTACTAATTCAACTGGTAGATCATTGTTGAATATAGTTTCTTAAAAAAATGTTTTCTTAAATAAAAGACCATAAATTATTTTTTATTTTATTTTTTGGTAAAAAGACCGTATCATGTTTGTAAACTTTTTTTTTTTTTCTCTTTTTGAAAAAAAATTGTGCTTGTAGTTGCTACACAATATTGGACTTCTTTTGTCATTTGTCTTGAGTTTCATTCACAATACTTAAATTTT